TGAGATGAGAGGTGAAGGCCCAGCTCTCAAAAGATTCTGCCCCTGAGGGAACATGTCACTTCCATTCCTATCACATTGGCCAAAGTCAGTCACATGAGCACATCCAAGTGAAATGGGTGGGCAAGTGGAAATCTATCACAGACCTAAAAGGAATCAGAAATGTTTGGGAGACAGCACTCATAACACACACACTACTCTGAATAACAACATACCCCCTAAGGTTTACATAGTCCTATAGAGATTAAAAGCATTTCTTACATCTATTATCTCATGAGAGCCTCACAAATAATGCTCTGTTTTATTATCTCCATTTTAAAGCTGAGGAAGCAGGCACAAAACTAAGTTACTTGCTCAAGGTCTTTTACTAGTAAGTGGTAGGACTGGGATTTGAATCCTCATTTCCTGACTCAGTCCAGTTCCAGGCTGTTTCCTTGATGCCTCTAGGTAGGCAGATGGAGGCAGAAGCTAGATTGCAGGGGCTGAGAGATCAATTGGATGTGAAGAAATGGAAGAGGGTATACTAAGAATCCCATCTTGCAGTCACTGGAAGCTTCCTAGCAGGAAAGTAACATACTAAAAGAAATGTTTTAAAAGGTTTCTTTTACAGCCCTTCAAAGGTACTCCAAATAGGCCCTACTACACTCCTGGAAGGATTAATAATTATTTTGGGTTGGGGGGAAATCAGTTTGGCAACATGGATCTGAGCTTTTTCAGAAAAGTTCATGCCCTTTTAGAACTCTCCCACAAGAATATAATCAGATAATGATTAGACTTGAGTGTCAGGCCACTAATATTACAGAGAAGTATTTTAATAGCAAAAAACCAAAAACAAATCAGAAAGAGAACTTAAACGTCCAAAAGGCAAATAAGAAAATGTATAGTTTCTCCACAAGATAGACTATGAGGTAACTTTTCAAACAACACTTTTAAAACATCCCCAGCGTCATGGGGGAAATCCTCATGCTATAAAGTTAAGAAAGCAGGATATAAAATTATACAGTCTTAAAACAATTATGAAAATATACACACAGCTATACATCATCTGGGTGGTTGGATTACAAGTGATTTCATTTCATTTAGACTTTCCTGAGTTTTAAGTTTTCTACAATATACATGTGTTACTTTTATGAGGAAAGATAATAAAAATTATAAAAGAGAAAGAAATTGACAACCACACAGGATGAATTAGAATGAATAAAGTAGATATTAAAAATCTGATGTTTTATGTGGGGATAGGGGATAAGGAGAGGTTGGTTATTGTTTTATTTTTATTTTGTTTTCATTCAAATACACTGTGAGGCAAAGAGCACAGTCACCAATGGGAAAAGTTTGGTTATTAATTACAGAAGAAATAGACCTGCAAAAAAGATCACTAGTCACACATCATAGTTTCATTTAGCAGCTTCTCTTTTTATAGAAAAGAATAAAATTGATTTTCACATTAGTCCAAATGTTACTAATTCTGTGGCTAGTTATCACTGATTTATGGTTTAGAAAAAAGATTGGTGTGAGAATACAGCAACCTGGGCCCCAGGACTACTTTCCCACAAACTAAGAATATCTTGGGAAAATTGGTCTTTATTTCCTCTCTGCTAAAAAGCCCAGGGTTAAAATAGGGGTGATCTCTACAATATTTCCAAGCCTTAAAATGCTATGACTATTTTAATCTATATTAATTTCATATTAATGAAACCAACCTGTAAGTGGATTTGTGTAAAATATTTTCAGCTAGACCACCCACCTAATCAAACTATATTGGAATGCCATTACACGTGTCAGTATTCTAGGTGCCATATGAAATTAAAACAGAATCCTTTCTCCAGAATTTAACATTTTCAAAAATGATTTGTAAACTTTCAGGAAGTCAGCTATGAGATTTGCGAAAATCTTTACAACAAAATCATCTTTGTTAGCAGGTGGGTAACACACCTAAACCCACAGACACAACACAATGAAAACCTTTTGGTGCCACCTGCCTGTTGTTATGGTTTACCTATGAGGTGTCCTCCAATGGCTCATGTATTTGACAATAATAGAACATTCAGAAGTGAAAAGATTGGGTTATGTTAGCCTTAACCTAACCAATGCGTTAATCCAGTTGAAGGGATTAACTGGGTGGTGAGATGGGCAGGTAGGGTGTGTCAGGAGGAGGTAGGTCATTGCGGGTGTGCCTTCAGGGTTATTTATTTTGTTCCTGGTGAGGGGAGAGAGCTCCCTCTCTGCTTCTTGGCTCTCGTGTCCTAAGCTGCTTCCTTCCACCACACTCTTCTGCCATGATGTTCTGTCTCACCTCGGGCCCAGAGCAGATGGATGTCCATGGACTGAGGCCTCTGAAACTGTGAGCCCCAAATAAACTTTTCCTCCTCTACAATTGTTTGTCAGGTATTTTGGTCACAGCAGCAAAAAAGCTGACTAAAACATGTGCTTTGATACTCAGTGAGTTTTTTTTCTTTTGGACACAATTGCCTTCAAGCTAGAAAGTTGGGGTGGGGGGACTTCCAAATGCAAAATGCTTCAGGATGGAGAAATAAGATTCAACTCACCTGAATTCTCAAATAAAGATAACCTTCATTTACTAAATACAGACATTATTTTGAAGCAGGAGTCAGCAATTTATCTCTAAAAGCCAGATTATAATTCAGGCTTTGCAGGCCATTGAAAGGTCTGGGTCTCAATTATTCAGCTCCACCTTTTTTTTTTTTTTTGTACCAGGGATTGAACCCAGGAGTTGCTTAAACACTAAGCCACATACGCAGCCCTTTTAAAAATGTTTTAATTTTGAGACAGGTTCTCACTAGGTTGCTTACATTCTTGCTAAATCGCTGAGGCTAGCTTTGAAACTGTAATCCTCCTGCCTCAGCCTCCTGAGCCGATGGGATTACAGACATGTACTACTGTGCCCAGCTCAGCTCCGCCATTGTACCACAAAAGTAACCATAGACAGTGCATGAAAAAGTGGTGGTGGCTATGTGTCAACAAAACTTTATTTGCAAGAATAGATGATCAGCACGTTTGCCTACCCCTGTTGGAAAGCATACTTTCTATTCATATTGAATCCAGCTAAAAGAAGATGAGATTGAAGAGGAAGAGGAAGAAAAACCTAATGAGTAGGTTTTACTACTCATCAGTGGCTTGAGCCCAAGGAGGAAATTAAAGTAATACTGAAGAGGCCAATGTAGAAAGAAAAAAAGAGAAATGCAGAGAAACTAGTAGTCAAGTTGTGAAGAAAAATAACAAGCAGGAAACCCATTTCTAACGTGGTCACTGGTCCATAAGGAGAATTGCTAGAGATCATTAAAAAAACAAAAAACATGTATAACTGAATTCAGTGGTTTTAAAAAATGTTTGACTCACAGCTTAAAATCTTTTTCAAAACAATTAAAAAATGCAAGAAAAAAAGATGGAAGGTGAAAGATGAAAAGTAAAGGGGTGGAAAGAGTGCCAAATGGAGGCAGGAGCAGGATGTGGGCCAGGAAGCAAGAAAAAGAAAAGTGTCCATTTTTTCCTGTCTTTTCAGTCTTTGCTTTTAGAATTCCAAGTGCCAAGTCTGAGCTGAGACCTTTTGATCTTGCTGGGGATTTCCTGGTCAAAACAGTCAGCTGCAGCATACCCAGCAATGACACAGCCATCATAGCCATTCCTCAGCCAATGTCAGATTCCTCTGCTGTGAGCTCAATGTGTGCACTGGTCTTTAAAGACAAGGGTGGGAAATTAATATGAATCAGTGTCTTCATCCATTCGTCACACCTTGCCATTACCTTTCAATTAAGAACTATATGAACAGAATCTCCAGACCTGGGAGTACTCTGGCACTTTGGTTCTACGGATTGAAGCATGGTCTTCAGTTTTGACCTTGTACACCTCATAACCTGAGATGTGGGTGTGAGAAAGGAGAATAAACCACTCAAGACCATTGGGTAGAGTTACATTGAAACTACCTTAATTAAATGGGTATTGATCTCTGTGCTTGTCCCCTTCTGTTTCTTTCTTTCATATCTCCTCCAGAGACAATTCAACAGCCTCTTTTCAATCCATACCTGGCTTTACATAATGCTCACATTCAGGAAGTTCTTCTTTACATTTAACCTAAATCCTTTCTGCTAGTTAAAACCTGTTTCCTCAGTGGAGATTTGGAACACCTGGTTTCCATTCTCTTTATGGCAAGTCTTCTTAAAGATTCACAGGCTTATAAAGGACATTCATACCAACCTCACCTAAGGCACATAGCTCCTTTTTTTTATAAAGTATTTTTCCAAGAATATTTTCCTGTACATACCAATAACCAATTGCCCAGGCTGTCGAGATCTGACTCATTGAGATTTCAGATTCAGCTGTGGAGATTTCTACAGCTCAAGAAAGAACAGCCCTTATCCAATAACTCAAGGTAGAAGAGGGCATAGAGGCAACCACTTTGTATTTAATAATGATTAAATACCTGCTTTGTTGAAGATGCTGATAAATTGAAGTTTGGGGGAAAACTAAAAGAAGAGTAGAGTGCTTACATCTGAAGAGGGAAGCATGTGGAAATGACCAATCTTTGGCCAACTGCCTTCAGTTCTGTTCAAGAATATCATCTCTTTGTGGGAGCAAGTTGAGGCATTTGAGAATTTTGACAAATAGCACCCAATGTTGGTCTCTCAATGAAATTTGTAACTGTCTTCTCCCCATCACACACCTCAAACGGTTTCTTCTCTGAAGCATTGGGGGGAAAAAATCTGGAGCTATACAAAAGATCCTCAGCTGACTGAGGAGCAAACAACATATGTTCTTGAACATCTGTGCTTTTCCTGAGCTATTTTTTTCCACTATTGTCAAGAGAAAAGAAGTTTAGTGGAATGTTTCTCCACAGAGGCACAAGTCTATAATATTCCCTGTTGATTACATATAAAAGACACAAAATATTAGTTTATTAAAAGCAGCTTCAACCATTGCTGTACAAAGCAGTTTTCCGATGGAACAGATTTATGAAGTAACGGCTGAAAGGTATGCAGATCACAAGATCCATGACAAATGTACTTTATTACACGGATCAGAAATTCCATATGTACTAGCAGTTACTGTACAATGATACACAACACCCAACTAAGACCACTTAAAGGTTTTTGCTGATATTGAAAACTACAAAGACACAATGTGAGAGTGAGAAAGTGTTTCATAAGATAGCATAATGCCAAGACAATTCATCGCTTTAGGAAATAAAATACATTCTGCATATTATAAACTTAATATATTATAAAGCTATGCTATTCTTTAAATTAAAATTCGAAAGTCTTTACCCCATTCATTGTTTAAAGCAGATGTTTATAACGTTTTTTCCATACTTTAATTTGAAACTTGGTTGAATGAGTACCAGACTTAACATTAATAAAATTAAGATTTCAGATTTTGTTATTTCCATCAAAAAAAGATACTTAAGTCTACAATCATGTAGCACCAAAAGACTGAATAGAGCAAAATAAACCCAATACATTTCAAATACAACATTTTTATATAAGGAATTTCTTGGCTTAAAAGAATGTCAGCAACTTTTGACCTGAATTCCAAGTACAATATTTGAACCCATTCTACTATATTTCACTTGGTTTTCCAGCCTGAGCTTGACAGGGTACTACTCCCACTTCAGCTCATTACTTCTCCCAGTTATCTTGATTACAAGGTTCCTCTTTAGATGCAGTCAGGCCCTCTTTATGACTTTGCATCATAGGTATTCATTCTATACTCAGAACAGTTTTGTTCACTACTTAAAAGTTGCACTACCTATTCGGTTTTCTAATCTGAAATTAGGGATAAGAGTATTGTTCCCACACCTTTCTTTGTTTTATATAAGTGAATTTAGCACAATAAGCATTCTCTAAATGTTGGCCCTTTTTGTTGTTGTTTACTATACCGTAATGAATGAGTCTTACGTGACATGAAATTGTGTTGTTTCCCTGTTCTAAAATAGGTGTGAAAGACCTTTGACATTCAACTATGTAAATTTTAGCATTTTTTTCCTAAGCAGGCCCAACCTTGGCTCTGGTCCTTCTAGCTGCCTGATAGCCCCTGTGGACAGCAGAATGGCTTTTAAACTCTTGTAAGCCTTTAAAGGTCATCCCTCACCCACAAACCCTTTCTTGTAAAACAGGTATGTGTCTGCTGTAATAGTGTTCTCATATGCCAGCAAATACTAGGAAAAAAGAATTATTTATATTTGTGCCTAGCACATAGTTGAATCAATCTGCCAGCCACTTAGCTAGTAAGATTACCCAAGTCTAATATCTGAATTTCAATTGTAGTGCTTATAAATTTGGCAATTCTGGCCAGGCACAGTGGTGCATGCCTATAACCCCAGTGGCTCTGAAAGCTGAGATCAGAAGATCACAAGTTCAAAGGCAGCCTCAGCAACTGCAAGGCGCTAAGTCACTCAGTGAGACCCTGTCTCTAAATAAAACACAAAATAGGGCTGGGGATTTGGCTCAGTGGTTCAGTGCCCCTGAGTTCAATCCCTGGTACAAAATAAATAAATAGATAGATAGATAGATAGATAGACACATAGATACATAGATAGATGGATAGATAGATCTGGCAATTCCTTGATGTCTCTTTAGAGGCCCCTAATTTTTTTGTGACTAGCACTTCACTAGCCTAAACTATACACCATTGTCTCTGTCACCACCCACCAGTACATTTCAGATGGTTGAATCAAGTCATTTATAGCCAGATAGTTTTTCTTCTCCAGCTTCTAAAAATCCTAGATATGTAGGTCCAAATTTTGAAAACATTCAAATTTCTTAACAAGCAAATATACACTGTTGCACACTTTATATAGCATGCAAAGTAGTGGAAAAAGATAGGCATCTACATTAATTTGACAACAGAAAAAATAATGTGGTCAAAACCACTACTTAGAGCTTCAACTGCAGTTCACATTTCTTTTCAGTAGCAGCCTGTGCAATGATGATCATGGCCATACCTTCTTCTTTTGGAAAAGGTAGGTCCATTCCTAATGAAGAGTTTCTTAGGGAAATCCAATCTGTTTTAGGTCCAGAGGTTTGAGGAGCATTCTATGAATCATTTCTTTACTAAAGTCTGCTCTTTATCTGATCCTGAGTCTTTATCAACCTAACCCATCATGGGTTGAACCAAAAATTAAGTGTTCTACCCTAAAATCACCTTTTTCTTTTAGCAATTTTGGGCATCCTGAAGAGGCAGATTGTCATTCTAAGAGTATAGGCTCTAGGGCCCAGCTGCCTGAATTTGAATCGCAGGTCTCCTGGTTTTGTATACATGGCCTGTGTGCCTCAGTTTCATTCTGTGTAAAGAGAGAATATTAGCACCCAACTCAGGATTGCTGGATGAATTAAATGATTTAATACTTTATGCTATTTTGATTATTCTTAAATATTTGAATTAAAAAAAAAAACTTTACATTCAATTCCTAATGCAATAGCTCAACCTAATTCCAAAAATGATTTGGTATTTAGCTTGAGCTCCACCTGGTGGTTTTACAGTTCTCTGGAAAACATCAGTCAAATTAAGAGGACAAATTTTAAAAAGATAAAGGGCTGGGGTTGAGCTCAGCAGTAGTGTGCTCCCCTCACATGCAGAGGCCCTGGGTTTGATCCTCAGCACCACATAAAAATAAAATAAAGGTATTATATCCATCTACAACTAAAAAAATTTTTTTAAAAAGATAAGTTAATAATAGATATATACTATACTTCTCGATTTATCACACCCTGCACTACTTTTGAAACGTCAGTCTAAATTTCTGTGTGTATGTGTATGTGGTACTGGAGATTGAACCTGACTCTATGAATGTTAGGCAAGTGCTCTATCACTGACCTACATGTCCAACCTATTTTAAATATTTGAAGTTATCCACTAACTTCTGAAATGAAATAGAGTTAATTAAGAAAAGCCTATTAAAATAACTTCAATTATTTTACTGGCATTAAATTTTATAGATTCCAATATTCTATAGGATTTTGGTCATATCCTATCTATCTATACTGTGCCCCAGCCTCCTAGGACTCTTGGCACAGTTCGTGACCTCGTGGCCAAGTGAATTTATTCTAAAAATTTTCACCCTTCACTTGATTTTCTGGTGTATTTAACGTCTTCTGAGCAGGTGCACAATTCTCAGTTCTACGTACCCAGGTAATAATATTACCCAGTACCTAGAAAAGTCCCTGGCACAAAGGAAGTACTCAATAAATATTTCATTATGTCAGTAAACAAATAAAATTATTAATCTGATTAGACTGAAATTTCAGAGGAAATGAGAAATTTAGATTGATTAAAGTTGACTGAAATTAGCAAATTATAGCAAGATATTTAACTAAAACTAACTTCCATTATAGTACCAACATTTTCGATAGTGTATTCTATTTCTCAGAAACTGACCTATATAAGACCATATAATAATAAAGTAACATTTCCTGTCATTCTTTGGGTATATAGCATTACCCAAATTGATGTGACCACAAATTTTTTTTTTCTCCCAAAAGCACCTGGAGAAGTGGATTCTGAAAAACATACGCTGGGAAAGCTGTACTATATTATATTTAGGCTACACAATATTAAAACTGAAGAACATTAAGTAAGTTTCTAGGAAAAATTTGAGGTACTTTAATTTGAAACATTGATTTGTATAAATTCACATATTCCACCTAAGACTTTTAAAAAATTTAATGGAAATTTCTGGTCTTCTCTAGTACTGGGAAACCTTCATAATGTACAAAAGAAGAAAAGATCAAAGTTTTACACACAAAATATCTTTTATTCTGAATTACAGAAATCAAAACTTCAATCTAGTACTATTTATAAGACCCACTGATGTCACATTTTTAAAAAATATAACCACATAATAGCTTTTTAAATTTGAGTTTGCTCAAATTTGTCAGTTTATCATTTTACCTTTATTGGATGATTTTACCAAGTTGTAAGATCCAACAATTATAACCACATCAATTTTTTTTGCACCAGGGATTGAATTTAGGGGCACTCAACCACTAAGCCACACCCCAAACCTTTTTATTTTTTGATACATGGTCTCAGTTGCTAAGTTGCTGAGGCTGTCGTTGAACTTGTGATCCACCTGCCTAAATCTCCTGAGCTGCTGGGATCACATGTGTGTTCCAACACACCTGGTAAACCATATTAATTCTTGACAGAATTTTGATGTCTTATAGTATATAGATATTGAGTGACATCCAATTAAAACATCAATATACCTTTCATTTACTAAAGAAAATACTTTATTCAAGTTCCTAAAACAAACTTGAGGGGTTATTCTGGGTTTGAATTGAAGACAAAAAGTCAACTTAAAATATGAAAATGAATAGTTTTCATTTAGTGACAGTCAAAATCAATGTATACATTCTCCAATCAAACATCTGTCCCATGTAGAATTCTTCAAGTTTTAAGAGTCTACCAGGCCAAACCCTTTGCTGCCTTTGCTGCTTTTGCTTTGCTCTTCCCCTTTCCTTTTTCTCGCTTTGCCTTCAGTCTTTTTCTTTGCCTCTGGTTCATCCACACAGGGTACTGTCCATGCTGGTCTAGAAGAGTCTTTTTGTTTCTCTTAATCTCAGTCTCCATTTTCATGTCATCTGAATAAAAAAAATATGGAGAAACTATTAACACTTACCCCGTGAAAGCATATGAATGCATTGTGCCTATCAGAACTGAAGGCAGACTGAAACTACAGAAAACCCTTTTCTAGAATGCTCTCATTCACTCAAACAAAACTCCTCACAGCAAACTTGACAAAATCAGACACATGCTATATATTACTATAATCATGAATGACCTAAGTGTTTGTAACTATAGGCACCATCTATTTACTCACTGAGGAACTTTCTAAAGAATGTTGTCCTGATTGTGCTTTGGAATAATAAAGTCAAAAAGGAAGCATTAGGATTTATGGCTTTGAGCTACTGAATTAGTGGATAAATGTATGGTTCTGAGCACATATGAATTGTAAGAATGCTTACAATTGTAAGAATGCTTACAATAAGAATTCTCATATTAAGTTATTCCTTGAGTTACATAAGACAGTTGAGCCAGTAAGAAGTGCACCCATACTTCTAATGGACAGGTCTTATAAGTAAATGATGAGGAATGACTGGCCATTTCTTATGAACTTGAACTAAATTTTAATGAACTTAGAAAGAACTTAAATGAAGTCAATGGAATGGTTCAACAGCAGGCTGTGGTAACAAAGATAAGCATACAACAGAGAAGAAAGACCTGGACACATCCTGGGGCTGTGCTGGGGTTGCCACACTTCTAACCAGGCAATACCCAGAGACCCAGCTCTACTAACAGGGAACTTGGAAGTTCCATGAAACTATGCTATGGCATATCTGCCACTAATCTTATTAGCTGGTAAGGAACATGCCCAGAATGTCCCTCTCATGTACTTAACCAAGTTATACAAAATCTTCTATCATATTTACTACCTGATGTTATATTTGATAGTCACCATTGTTTCCATGCTGCCTAAAATAGTGCTAGTATTTAATAGTTACTCAGTAACTAGTAGTTGAGTGATTACTTTAGGTAGGTTCTGTTAAGAACATGGAAAAAAGACTTGAGATTTTAAGCATGCCAGTGATATAATCTGATTTATATTCTAAAAAGATCACACTGGGTAATATGTAGAAGATAAACCAAAAAGGAAAAAGCTGAAGAAGACAGAAGCAAAAAGGTTACTATAATGGTATAGGCAAGAGATGATGGTTGTTTTAGTCAGCTTTTTTGCTGCTGTGACTAAAAGATCTGACCAGAACAATTTGAGGGCTCAGTTTCAAAGATCTTAATCCACTCAAGATGAGGCAGAACATCATGGAGGAGTATGTGACAGAGGGAAGCAGCTCACTTGGTGATCAAGAAACAGAAGGAGTCTCCACTCTCCATATACAAAATATATACCACAAAACCACACCCCAATTCCCACCTCCTCCAGACAAACCCTATTATTTCAATTACCACTCGGTTACTCCTATCAGGGGATTAATTCATTGACTGGGTTAACATCTTATAACCCAATCATTTCTACTTTGAACCTTCCTGCATTGTCTCACACATGAGTTTTTGGGGGACACCTCACATTCAAACCATAACAATAGTCATTTGAATTAAGATGAATGAAGGAAAAAAAATAGATTCTGCTGAAATTTTGAAATAATAAATAAGATTTGTTAATGGTTTAGATATAGAGGAAAAAAGAAAGGATGACTACTAGTTTTGTGGCTTAAGAAACTGGGTAGGCAGCTGAAAAAATAGAAATAAGGAACATGAACTTTAAGGGCAGCGATAAAGAACCATCTTGATTACTAAGTGGGACTCTCCTCACTCTCAGTCCTGTCCCCATTTAGCTCCTGAAATACTCTAAGAATGAGGGCATTCCCTAGACATTCCCTAGGCAGGAGATGGATGAGAGAATGCCTCTTTGAGGATGATGAGAAAAAAGAGCCATAAATTCTGACATAGGAGATCTCCTAACAGGACCTCCTGTGTTCACTCCAATGACTCTACAGGTCTAGCAGTTAATAGACCCTCCTCCATGCCTTCACTCCTTCCAGCTTCCAATCATCATATTAGTGCCTCACTTAAATACAAGCAATGAGTACTGATCACCAGATACTTGCGAAAAACCTCCAATATAGAGATAGAGATAAAAATTTAGGAACAGAAGGGTGGGGATGAGATAGGGAGAAGCCCAAAAGAAAGATAGATGATGCAAACAGTAGATCCAAATTTCAAAAACAACTATAATTAATACCCCCCGTGAGATCAAAGAAAATATAGATCCATTAAGAACAGGAGGTTATAAAAATTAAACAATAAAAGGGGGGAAAAAACTTTGGAAATGAAAATTAGTAACATTAGGGCTGGGGATGTGGCTCAAGCGGTAGTGCTCTCGCCTGGCATGCGTGTGGCCCGGGTTCGATTCTCAGCACCACATACAAAACACCGAAAACTTAAAAAAATAAAAATAAAAAAAATATTAAAAAGAAAATTAGTAACATTAAATAACACAAGAACTAGAAAATAAAGTTGAGGAAATTACAGAATATAACGAAAGAAAAGAGAGGAGAGAAAAGAGAAACAGGAGAGAAAAGAAAATTAAAGGAACAATTCAAGACTCAGGAGTGCATGGGAATCTGGCATACAGATTTTTAAATCTTTGGCTTTATTAGTCATTAGGGAAATACAAATCAAAATTGTGGGACACTAACCCTGTACATTGCTGGTGCAAAAGTAAAATAGTGTGGCTGAGGTGGAAAAGAATAAACAAAGAATGATATGATCCAGCACTGCCATTTATAAGTATATTCCACCCCCCAAAAAAACAAAAGCAGGCATTTAAAAAAAAAAAAACTTATACACAAATGTTCACAAGAGCACTATTTATAATAGTGAGAAGGTAGAAGCAACCCAAATGAAATGGATATGAATAAAATGAATGGATAAATGAAATACAGTATACAAAGCAGACTATTAACTTAAAAAGGAAGTATTGATATATGCTACAACATGGGTGAAACTCAAAAATATTATGCTAAGTAAAAAAAGAAAGGCACAAAAGACTGCATATTGTATGATTCCATTTCATATTCAAAACAAGTACATAAAGACACAAAGCACATTAGTGGTTGTTGGAGGCATAGGGTTCAAGGCTCTTTAATAGGTACAGGGTTTCTTTTAAGATGGTGAAAATGTTTTGGAACTAGAGATGATGGTTACATAAAACTGTAAATGTACTAAGTGCAACTGAATAGTATACTGTAGGGAGAGGGATTGAGAAGAAAGAGAAAATTTAAAAATGGTCATTTTGAAGAATGGGAAAGGAAACTTTTAGGATTGTAAGGTTGAAGAATACTGCTCTCTTCCCTGACCATATACACCACATAAACATTATTTCAAGAGTATGGATGCTGGGCTGAGGATGTGGCTCAAGCGGTAGTGCACTCACCTGGCATGCGCGCAGCACCACATACAAATAAAGATGTTGTGTCTGCCGAAAACTAAAAAATAAATATTAAAAAATTCTCTCTCTCTCTTTTTAAAAAAAATTAGAGTATGGATGCTGAGAGTGCTTAATTCAACTTGCTGCCAAATTGGTGCATTAGGATGTGAGATCCAAGAAACTTTTTGCTCTGCTGAAACTAGCACCTTATACAGTCTCTACCTTAAGACTATGGTTAAGACACAGAGGTCCCTGGAATTTGTGAAAATAAAATCCAGTGAAACTGTAATTTTCAGGATAACTGATAAGTACATAAGACTCACAGTATGTTAAGCTTGCAAAGAAGCCCTCTTTCTATTCTGTGGGGACTGACTGAATTGTGCACCCTTCCAACAAGTCTAGGTTTGTTTCCTGTAGTATCATCTACTCCTCAAGCAGATTATTGTTTAATTACACAAGATCCATCTTGAATAATCCACAATATGACTATCCACATGAACTGGTTTTAAAAGTTTAGCACAGAATTTCTTGTAGCAATGTAGCCTTCAATAATAAACGTGAGCAGATTTGAAGGTAGGCACAGAGCAGTTACAAAAAAAAAAAAAAAACCCACAAAAAGAAACTAATATATATATTTTTTTAAATAAAGCACATAAACTCACCTTTTTCATCATTCACCACACTCTGCGTTTTCTCTTGGCAATGTTTAGGTACCACCACAGTTGCTATTTCTTCAACATCTTTCATTAAAACATCACTGCCAACTTTGAGAATATTTTTAAGTCTGTTGAGCTCTTTCGGAGCATTCTTTTTCCTCTTTTCAGCCCGCATCTTCCTTTTCCACTTACTCCGTAAGCTTTTAGCCATCTTTTACCTGGCAGTTAACAAAAATATACATTCAAAAGCAAATTGTTTACTACTAAAAAAAGGCATATACTTGGGAAATCAAGACACCAGGTATTTCTCTACAAAACAGGAAAAAATAGAAGATAAACTCTTCACTCTTCAAGATTTATGACAGCTTAATGTGCAACTTATGTGAGGGTCAATATGGCTCCTATTGTCACTAAATAAATAACAATTAAGAACGTTAAATCAAACTCCTAGCGGTCAAAGGCAAACTGTAAATAAAGCCAATTCTGAAACCTCCTTGGTTTCCCCACAAAATAGAGTAATTTCCCCCCAAATGCAAAGAGCATCACCATCTTAAGTTTACTAATTAGGAAATGACTTTGACAAACTGCCCTCCAAAGGAATGTGGGTACCAGGAAAGTAGAGGTTACAGATTGTATTCACTGTTGAATTCCTCAGTCCACAGCAGTTCACGCACAGTAAAGGATGAAGGGTGACTAGCTGAATACCAAAACACGAATGCCAGCAATCACAAACCTACTTGACCACCTTGTTTACAAGGACCCAAGCCCGGCAGGGGGACAGCATACAGGATTGCGGAATAGTCTTTGAGGGTCAAAGTTAACCTTAGCACGACTGAGAGACAAGAAAAGGCTTCATTTTACACAGAAAATGAGGAAGTCAAAGGGCCGCCATCAGGAGCCAGGGTCTCTCGTCCTTGACCGAGTCCTGGCTTTTTACACCGAAGAGATCAAACATGGCGCAAGAGGGTCAAAGCTTGGCACGAAATTTTCCACAGGCAGCAAATCAAGCCCCAGGTCTCACACCCCACTGTTCCCCGGAGGGAAGACGCAAACAACAAACTCACAAGATCACGTTTTCCAAGCAGCACGCCACCGACTGGAAGCCCCCAACTTCCGGCTTCCGGCCGGTGAGCGCAGTGCATGCCGGGAGTCAGTACGGCTGCTAAAGCTTCAGAGGCCGGGTAGGCGCTGACACGCCTTCTGCTTTAGGGTTGCGCAGACTTTGAACCCTGGCTGGTCCCATAACTGTACAGAAGTAGGATTTAGCCAATTCTAAACTGCGTTCCAGTTCCAGTCAGCGGTCTGGACGTGTGTTTACTTGCTTCTGGGAAGTGGGCGCATTAGCACCCGGAACTTATCACAGGGAGTGAATCCCGCCTGGGAACTGGGCACCCAGGTAGAGCAAAGCCCACCTTTAAAAGCTGACCTCACTGGCACCAGGTACTCTAGAGGTTGCTTAAAGCCAATCATCTTAGATCACGTGTTCTTTCAGAGATGTATTGAGGTCATCCTTATTTGCAGCCTGGAAACTCACTCCCATCTTGATTTATGATCTTGTTGTAGGGACAGATGAGGCAAGGCACCTAAGATAGCAGGAGACAGTTTTATTTGACTGCAGCCAGGTTCAGAGGGCACAGCTTTTGCTGTAATCAATCAATACCCTGTACCCCGAGGTCAGTAGTTCCAGAATTTTATACCCACTATATAAGGGGAGGGACTCAGAAGTTCACAGTCTGCAGAAGTTCACATAAAAGCAGTTTTTTTTTCTTTTATTGTTCTGGGCAAGTTAACCCTTCAAGGACAACGCCTGAGACAGGGAGAGCTTCTTCTCCCCTTTTATTCCTCCTCCTGCAGAGCCCAATTGGTAACTTCTCTTACCTTAAAATGTAGACATCTCTGTGAAGCCCAGCTCAAGGCCAAGGCCTTGTTTGCACATTGCTACAAACTACTATACTTGATACGTTTGTGAAAAACTAGTAATGGGGTGTCCAGCAGTGGAGTGCTGATATCTTCACTGCCAGTGGCCAAGTAAAACAGAACAACAGGAAAATAGGAAGTTTATCTACATTAAACTCTTTTGCTGACAGTCCCCAAATCAGCCATGTTGAAGATTTCTGGAGAAGCCCAGTTAAGACTTTTCTGTAGAGAAAGGGGGTGCCACTACAATCTCACGGATGTACACATATGCCAAAACTCAGCAAATTGTACACTTTAAATACTTGCAACTTATTTTGTCAGTTATGTCTCAAAACTGTCACCAAAATCAGAAAGTAATCCTATTCCAAAGGAGAATTTAAAGTATAAAATTTAATTGTTTCACTTCAAGTTGATGTTTACCTGTCTGAATGCTTCCATACCAGGAAGTGCTACACCTAGGACACTGAGCTCATGAACAACACTGTTATTTAACGTATACTTTTTTTTTTTTCCTTTCAGTACTACCAGGGAATGAACTCAGGGGCACTTAAACACTGAGTCACATCCCCAGCCCGTTTTTGTATTTTATTTGGAGACAGGGTCTCAATGAATTGCTTAGCACCCTGCTAAATTGCTGAGACTGGCTTTGAATTCTCAATTCTCAATTCTCCTGCCTCCACCTCCCAAGTCAATGGGATTACAGGTGTGTGCCACTGGGCTGTCCCTAACTTATACTTCTTATGGTATAAGCATTAGAACCACACAGGTCGGTGTTGTATTTTTGGTTAGAACATTTGAGAATAATATGGTTTTGAGAGTCTGGATTTCTTAGAACAAGTTCCCCCCCCCCCTCTTTTTTTAAACATTGGGCTGAAAAAATCCTAGGCTTAAAAAAAAAAGAGAAAACCTAATTTCTTTAAATGGAAGATTGTTTCTATCTTATGTTAACTGTATACCTGTTTTTTCAAATTAGAATTTAGCCTCATTTCCCCAGAAATATATCTGCATATTGCATTTTATTTTATTATTTTTTAAAATATTTACATTTTATTATGACTTTTTTTTTTTTCCCAGCGGACACAACATCTTTATTTGTACATGGTACTGAGGATCGAACCCAGGGCCGCACACATGCCAGGCGAGCGTGCTACCGCTTGAGCCACATCCCCAGCCCATGCATAATGCATTTTAAACTACAGTAAATTCCCTTTCACATAGTCAAAAATGACTGCCTCTTGCTTAACATACCTGGCAAAGACTTTTGAATAGAAATTTTGCAAAAGAAACAATAACCTATTATGAAAATTGTTGTGCTAAAATACATGTCACAATTCAGCATTACAAATACTTTATAAAACAATCATGGACTATGAAATAGGGGAAAAAAAGTTTTAACTCATGTCCAGTTTGTACAAATGAATTTCTAACAATAAATGGCCTTAGCATATTTAAAAACTCATAAGCCACTCTCATTCATACATTCAAGTATAAACTCTGCAGTAGGCACTTTGCTGGATATACAAAGCTGAAGGAAAACAAACAACTGTGTTTGGGACACTTTAATCCCTGATGGAGGAATAAGGATTAAGGGTCAACCTGGATATGGCTACAACTCAAGAGAGCTGGAAAGAGTTTATGGAACTAGAGGCACAGTGGGTAGTGTTGAATACCAACCGATTCTCCATCCAAAAGGCATGCTAAACTACTGGCTTCATCCAGTGAGTGGAGTCCCTGATCTGCATAATGATTTAGTAAGAAACAAGAATATTTCTGGAATTCAGATGGTGACTTCATATTGCCAGTTCCCTAGATCATGGATACTTCAGGACTAAACTCTACAAAGATACTAAGTAAAAACAACAACAAAAAATCTGTTCCCAGCTCCTCCAAAAACGCCTGCTGCTATCACTCATTGCCAGAACTACATGAAGTGAATTGAAGCTAGGTCTGAGACCTGTAAAGAAGTGAAGGCAGGTACATGGGACCCACAGCATCTCTTAAGCTGAATGATATTCAATAAACACAGTTCTCACTTCCTGCTCTTCTCTCATTCTCTTCCTACTTGTTGTTCTTTTGTCCCTTGTACACTGAGTTGCCAGTTGCTCTGTCAACCTGCTAATGCCACTTTCTTAGTATTTCTTAAATCTGCACATTTTCACCTCTGGTAAAAAACTGAAAATTGCACGTCATTGTACCTAGAAAATTGTCATGCCTATGCACAGTAGGACACATAAAGATGTACAGAGTAGTGTTAATGGTGACAGTAAGAAAGGAGCAACCATATAAAATTCATTAATAGAAAAATATATGATTTTGGTTCATGTAATATTTTATACCAGTGGTTTTCAAAACTTTTAGTGTGATCCCTTTAGACTTAATAATTATGGTATATATCAGAAATTAAAAAACTTTTTTGAAAATTTAAGTCATTTCAAAGGGAATTCATTAGGTGGCATTTTTATATTAAATAACTATTTCCTAAATAAAAAATAATTTAGTAAAAAGAATGGCATTGTTTTACATTTTAAAATGTCAAATCTGCCTTTGCTTATTGTCTTTAGTCACTATTCAGTCTATTCTGCATTTGGATCGAAATGATACTAATAACAGCAGCTTACATTAATTAATCATTTAGTTTCTGTATTTATCTCATTTTATCCTTCTGAAAGCCCAATTAGGCAGGATTTGTTACGATTATTCCAATTATAAAAATGAGGCAAGACCTATATAAGGAAGGGAAGTAACTTTTACAAACATGTAACTGGTCACATATAATAAGGATTCCAATCTAGATGTTTATACCTAACATGCTATGCTAAACTTGATTGTAAAGTATCACACAATTGGTTTTTCAACAATCAATTGATGATAGAGTCAATTAACATCTAAAAGTCATTGGAGACTAAATCTATATAACTAACTGAATTCAACTTAGTACGTATGAAATGATGTACTTAGTGAGTGTTATGGACTGTGTCCCTAAAAATTCATATTATGAAGTCCTAACTCTCAGTAGCTCAGCATATGAATGTATTTGGATATAGGTCTTTAAAGAGTTAACTAAGGAAAAATGGTCATTAGGATGGACCTTAATTCAATGACTGATGTCCTTATAAGAGGAGGAAATTTGGACATAGACAAACACAGAGGGAAAACAAGGTAGAGACATTATGAAGCCAGCCATCTACAAGAAGAGAGGTCTCAGAAGAAACCAACCCTGTCTACAACCTGATCTTGGACTTTCTAGCCCACAGAACTATGGAGAAAATATATGTCTACTGTTTAAGCCACTCTTTCTATAGTACTTTGCTATGGCTGTCCTAGCAAACTTTATTTAATAAAATATTCTCCTCTTATTTGTTGGGGGATATATTCCAAGATTCCTGATGGATACCTAAAACATATAGTACCAAACCCTATGCATACTATGTTTTATCCTATACATGCATACTTCTGATAAACTTGAATTTATAAATTAGGCACAATAAGAGATCAACAATAATAAAATAGAAAAATTGAAACAATGTACTGTATAGTAAAAGTCATGTGTATAGTCTCTTTCAAAATATCTTATTGTTCTGTTTTCACCATTCTTTTTGTGATGTGAGACAATACAATGATTATGTGATGAGATCAAGTGAGATGATGCAGCACTGTGCTGTGTAGAGGTAAGCTACCATTGGTCTTCTGACAATGTGTCAGAAAGAAGATCCTGGATCACTGAGCCATGAAAAAATGGGTAATGTATGCAGTGTGGATATGCTGGACAAAGGGAAGATCATGTCCCGACCAGGATGGAGAAGGACAGCATGAGACTTCATCATGCTACTCAGAAGGGCATATGACTGGGGATAAAGTTGTAGCTCAGTGGTGGAGAACTTGCCTAGTATACATGAAGCCCTGGGTTCAATCCTCAGCACCACATAAAAATGGATAAATAAAATACAGATATTATGTCCATCTATAACTTAAAAAAATTTTAAAAAGGGCATGCAAGTTAAAATTTATAAACTATTTCCAGAATTTTCCATTTAACATTTTTAGACCACAATTGCCTACAGGTAAATGAAACCACAGAACATAAAACTGCAAATAA